TGTGAGCTGAGATGCCACAGCACTCTACCCAGGGGGACAGCTTGAGGCTCCTGTCTCAAAAAAAAAAAAAAAAGCCTAAGAATTGTTGAGCCATAGGTGCCACCCAAAAAAAAGCCTAAGAATTTGAGGTTGCTGTGAGCTGTGACATTACAGCACTCTACTGAGGGCAACATAGTGAGACTGTCTCAAAATAAATAAATAAATAAATAAAATAAAGCAATTATGTTCTCTTTAAGAACAAAAACTCTGAAGGAAAAAGGATGAGCAAAAGTTGAAAACAAACAGAACTATGTATATTAAGCAAACTAGAAAGGGAAGCCAGTGCGGTGAGGAGGCCCTGGCACTGGGGCTCAGGCTGTCCCTGTGCACACTGGACCCTCCATTCCACAAGGAACAATGGCCACGCAGCTGGGAGAGCCCCTTGCCTCACCAGTCCCAAGAGACAGGCCATCAAGGCCGAGCATTAGTGGATGGCTGGCCCTGGTTGGAGAGGAATGAGTATGGAGTCACCAGGGACAAGTGTGTTGCCTCTATGCTGAAGGCACCCTAGGTTTTGGATGAGCTGGATGCTTCCTGGGGGAACTCAGGCACCTGAGCGGGGGCTCTGACTCGGGAGTGGTTTCTAGCCCCAAGCTGGTCTTAGAGAACCAAAGTGAGGGGCCAGACACTGGGTCCCTTCTCCTTTAAGAGGCGTGTCCTCCACAGGGTCTCCATAGAGTTAAACCCTGCAGGCAGGTCATTTGAGGCCTGGCATCTGAATGCCCTATGGGGTGGAGTGGGGGCCTGGCAGAGAAACTGAGGTTCAGGAGCCTGGGCACCCCCTTCTCAGGGGCAGGATTGAGGAGAGGAGTTGTGTCCTGTCTATAGGGGAGCCAGGGGACCCGAACCTGGCCCAGGCTATGACATGGCCTGTCTAAGCCTTGGCACCTGTATGTGAACAGGTCTACTTGAGGGGCCTATGGCATCATGACAGAGGTGTCATGGGCCTAGCAAATGTGTCCCTGGGCATACAGGTGGGTGGAGATTGCCAGCCTTTCCCCCTTTGGCCCCTCCCAGCAGGCCTGGTTTAGGATACATTCTCTGCCCATTCACTGCCCGATAGAACCCTGGACACCTGGCCCAGCCTAGTGTTGGGACTCACTGGTTGGAGGCCTGGGCATCAGGTTCTTAGAAGTCCTACAGGTGACTTGAGATCCCCAGCTGTAAGGACATGCTTCCTCAGCCCAAGCCCCAAAGACTACCTGCTTGGCCAGAAAGCACCAGAGTCAGGGGGTCTCTGTGCTGCTGGGGGCCTGCAGGCCTAGACACCCCGACAAACTGACTCCCTGAAAAATGATCTCATTTTGTCCTCCATGGTGTGTAATGCAAACTTATTTTCACATGCAAAGTGGTGCTTTGTGAGAATGCAGTATGGAATAATTGTTTAAATTCTCCTAGGCCTGAGACTCACCCCTAGGCCTGAGAGGTGTGTGGTGATAATAATACTGAGAAAAGAAAATAGCTTGTAACAGTCTGGGCTGAGTGAGGGGCGCAGAGTTTATGCACCTCAGGGAGACAGGGACTGGCCCCAGCCTTTGTCCGCCAGCAGTTGTGAGCCAGTGTTCAGAGGCGTTGTGTTCTTTCTCTTCTACCCAGTAGTTCCCCATTTAGCTGCCTCACCCTTTACCTTCCTGGAATTTGTGATAGAACAATGATCAATAGCTTATATGGTTTTAATATAAGTGATTGGTAAACAACTTAGGAATTGCCTTTTTTTTTTTTTTTTTTTTTTTGAGACAGAGCCTCAAGCTGTCCCCCTGGGCAGAGTGCCGTGGCATTACAGCTCACAGCAACCTCCAACTCCTGGGCTCAAGCGAGTCTCCTGCCTCCGCCTCCCAAGTAGCTGGGACCACAGGCGCCCGCCACAACGCCCGGCCATTTTTTGGTTGCAGCCGTCATTGTTGTTTGGCGGGTCCGGGCTGGGGATTCGAACCCGCCACCTTAGGTGTACGTGGCTGGCGCCTTAGCCGGGTGAGCTATAGGCGCCGAGCCGGAATTGCCTTTTTTTCTTTAAAAATCTACTTGAGACTGCGATTTATAGAGGACATATTCTGGGTAATTCCCAGGCTTGGCCCCAATACTCGTTACTTATGTCAAGTTTGCCTCAATTTTCCCCTTTAGGTGGGGAAGACACCAGCAAAACCACAAAGGGGACAATGTTCACTAACCACTCACTCTGAGCAGTCATCCTTCCAGCTGGGTCTGGGATTCCAGCCTCTTACTATGCCTCCAGTTCACCCAGACAGTAACGCCCTTCCCTCCCAGCCTCCCCCACAGGGAATGTTCTGGTTATTCATTGATTTGGGGAAGCTGTAAATGGAAGAGCTCCTTCACACAGGCCTCTGTCCTCTCTTCTGGCAGGTAGAGCAGTTCCTTACAGCCCCAAGCTCCTTCTGCACGGCAGCCAGGCCAGCACAGAGGTGTGTCAAAGCAGATCACCAGGGACCTCATCACCATGCCAGGCTGGTGGTTCTGGCCCCTGGTGGCCGTCTGTGCTGCTGACTTATTCAGAGACGAGGCGGAGAGGATCATGAGGGACACCCCAGTCATCGATGGGTAAGCAGCTCCTGGTCTAGTTGTCTAGGAACAGGCTCCTGTGCCCTCACTTGGGCTCCATTTCTCTGATTGTAATGTGGTTCTGGCCTTTGTGCTGCCCTCCACTTCTTCATGGAGCCTTTTAGAGCCCCTAAAATCTTCAGCAGATGAAGGTGTCTAGGCAACAGTTTGTAGGTGGGGAAGTCAGTGGTGAGGCCCAGCTCCAAGGGCTTCCCATCTCAGAGTGAAGGCCAGGGAGGCGTAGGCCACTGCCACCTCCCATCAGCCCTGGATCCCCTGAAGGCTGCAGGTGAGGCTGACACTCCACAGGCCCTCAGAAGGCATCTTTCGGCTCATCACCTGTAGCACAGTGGTTACAGTGCCAGCCACATACACCAAGGGTGGCAGGTTCGAACCAGGCCAGGGTCAGCTAAACAATAATGGCAACTGTAACAAAAAATAGCTGGGCATTATGGCGGGCGCCTGTGGTCCCAGCTACTTGGGAGGCTGAGGCAAGAGAATTGCTTAAACCCAAGAGTTTGAGGTTGCTGTGAGCTGTGATGCCACCCACAGCACTCTACCAAAGGTGACATAGTGAGACTCTGTCTTTTTTTTTCTTGAGTCAGAGCCTCAAGCTGTCGCCCTGGGTAGAGTGCCATAGCATCATAGCTCACAGCAACCTCCAACTCCTGGGCTCAAATAATTCTCCTGTCTCTGCCTTCCAAGTAGCTGGGACTATAGGTGCCCGCCACAATGCCTGGCTACTTTTTGGTTGCAGCCATCATTGTTGTTTTGGCAGGTCTGGGCTGGATTCGGACCTGCAAGCTCAGGTTTATGTGGCTGGCACCTTAGCCGCTTGAGCCACGGGCGCTGAGCCGAGACTCTGTCTTTTTATTAAAAAAAAAAAAAAGAAAAGGCTTCCTTCCCTGCCTGGCCTAGTGCCCAACTGTTGCCTGTGGCTGCTCTCCCTCTGTTGGCCTGTGCTCTCCCTTGGGGACCCCATACAGCTCAAGTCTGGGGACCCCTCTCTGTGCTACCATGCGTCAGCCTCCCCCCAGGCTCTCTACCCGCTCCCCTCTGGTCTCAGTGCAGGCAGCTCCACCTCCTTCAGATCTGACCTCCCCACTCCCAGGCCCAGCCATTTCCACACAGGTTCTTCCTGGCCCAAAGGCCTGCACGCCTGGCCCTTGTCTGTGCTATGTGTCTTCCCCCATGCTCCTCCCAAGGACGCTCAGCCCTGATGTCCACACACACCCCCTCAGCAACCCTTCGGGCTCGGCATGACGTGTATTTCTCCTATCCAGGGACTGTGTTGGTCAGGGGTGCCCAGGGCACTTGCTGCATCTGGCACATAGTAAGTGCTCAATAAATGTTAGAATCATCACTACTTGGCAGATGCCTCTGGGCTTGTTTGGGAAAAAAAGCTCTGTAAGAAAACCTGGAGACTCACTATATAAGAAACTCAGGGGGCTCGGCGCCTGTGGCTCAAGCGGCTAAGGCACCAGCCACACACACCTAAGGTGGCGGGTTCGAATCCCCAGCCCGGGCCCACCAAACAACAATGATGGCTGCAACCAAAAAAAAAATGGCCGGGCGTTGTGGCGGGCGCCTATAGTCCCAGCTACTTGGGAGGCTGAGGCAGGAGACTCGCTTGAGCCCAGGAGTTGGAGGTTGC